ACTGTGTGTGTGCACTTGGATGGGTTAAATGCAGAGCACAAATTCCGAGTATGGGACACCATACTTGGCTACACTTCACACCACACTAAACTGGAAAAATATATATTTGAAGAGAAATAGTATTCAGTTGTGCAAATATTAGCAAACCACTCAATAATGTTGCTACCCAATAGCCAAATAGCTACTTAAGCTACAAATACCGCTTTTTTTTTTTTAGCTAATTCAAAATTCATGTAATGCCACTTTTTATGATTAAACATTCACAATGGAAAAAAGTAATTCTTCATGTTGAATATCCTCTTTCACTTTGAATTTTGTCATATTATGGAAGTAAAATAGCAATTCAGATTAACTTTAAGCTCTCTTGTGCTGATTTTATTCAAATATGGTCAATATGTGTCCACAGAACGCAGGTAAATGCGCATGCCTCAATAATCCTGCTTCCCTCTTTTTGTCTTTTTCTGTCCTCAAGTGTGAACCTACAGTGGAACTACAGGCCGACTGGGTGACGTGAAGCGTTGCAGCTGCAATTTCACCTTCTCTCAGTCATGAGGAATAATTACACTGCTGGATGCCTGTATGTTCGTCTCCTCTGCCCAGTCCTACACTTGCACTACCATTGCTAACTCTCCAACCCTTGTCTATGTCCTTCTCCTTTCACCTCAACTACCCTCTGACATCTCATCAGTGGAGCCTCACTGTATGACTTACAGCTCTGGCTTTCTGCTTATTCCATTTCAACTGGCGTTGAATGAATTTTCTATGGGAAAAGGCAAAGTGTCAGCAGCTGGGAGATTATTGACACCTTTTGACTTTGTGCAGGAAGTGTGCTGAGTTTCGTTTGTCTCTATGTTTGACTGGTTCCTCCCCTGACAGGCCAGGGCTGCTCTAAAAAACTGCCTTCGACGCAAAAGAAACAATTGTGGGAGTGCAACTTTGCTTTTCTCACTTTTTGCTAGGTATCATATAGGAACTTACAGTGGGTCAGAGCAAACATGGAATAGGGTTATTTTAGTTAACTAAAGCCATAAAAAAACATTTAGATATGTGAAATAAAATAAATGTTAATTGAAAATACAAAAAAAAAATATATATATATATATATATATATTACTTCAGCTACTTGCCAAAGTGACATTTCTCTCTCTCTCGCTCTCTTTTGTTTAGTTTAAGGTAAATTACTAAAATAACTCAAACTAAAACTAATAAATAAAAATAAATAAATACCTTATAGATGTTTGAAAAAACAAAAACTAACACAAATAACAAAAACACATCAAAATTACTAAGACTTTCCAATTAAAGTGAAAACAAAAAAAATATATAAAATTAAAATCTCAAAATATGAACAAAAACTTACATAGTATATCAATGATACTAAAAGAACACTGACATGGACAGCACCTGCAGAATAAAATGATTTTGTATCATTGATATACTATTATATTTTTTATTAATATTATGAATTCGTTTTTATTTTTATAATTTCAGTTTTCATCTTAATTTTAGTTAATGTTTTAGTAATTTTGCTGTGTTTTATTATTTTTTTAGTTTTTAGGTCTATACACTTCTTATTCGTTTTTATTTTTATTTTAGTTTGTCACATTAAACTGAAAGAAAATGAGAAATGATGCCTTGGCAAGTGGCTAAATTTAAAATAAGTTTATCAATTAATTTTTTTTTTATGTAAGTTAAGGTTTATTTTATTTCAAGTAACCATTTTTTTATGGTTTTAGGTTTAATTTATTTGACAATATCCCTAACCCTGCTCAGATGTTTCTCCTAAAGTTTGTGTGAAAGACACAAATGAGACGATTCAGTAAGAATATACTGAGAGTATACAGATAAAAAATACACACAAATAGCACAACAGAGATCATCTGATAGGAAATGTTTGATGAGATATGTTTGAGATCAAATTGGAAAATTTGTGATCACAGACTTTGTGAAATTTTATTGGGAGATTATTGTTGTTGTTGTTTTTTTATTACGAAAAACATTTGAGAAGCAGGAGACTTAAGAAAAATAACAGTTTGATTTCCATTTAATCTTGTTGTCTAGGGGAAACAGCTTTTCTTTCCTATGGGGAGTGCTATTAGCATACACAAAATTAAATAACGTCTCATCAACAATTTTCATTTGAAGAACAACATTCAGCTATTTGGCTGCATATTAGCAGGACAGAAAAAAGGAAGGACATCAAGAGAAATGTCAAAATTTTTCAGACGATCTCTGGAATATGAGACTATCAGACATGAGATTATGAGTTTAATGTACCATTAAGCCATTTGGAGTTGTACTGGGCGGTCCGCAGAGGCGGCATTCCTCCTAGGCTGCGGTAGATGACAGGATCCCGGCCAGAGAAATCGATGACCGTGGCGGCGTACAGCTCTCCGCTTTCGGTCACCACAGCCGTCGAATTATGATGGGGGTCATAGGGGCAGCGGGCCACTCCATTCACCCTCTCTAACACTCTGCCCATGTTCCCTGCCTGAGAGGAAGATACGATATGGATTACACACATACACACACACACACACACACACACACACACACACATTTTGATAAAAACTCCAGTTTTGTCAGCTCATTTAACCGATAGATGCTTACCTCTCTGGTGATGCAAAGGGGCTGGAAGGCATTGGTACCGCAGGTGATCACCTCTGTCTTGTTGACAAGCAACACCCGGATGTAGTTTTGACACTCCACCTGCAGGGGCAGATGCACTTGACAGTATGACAATAGCAGTGGCATGTTCAAAATACTATGGTACTGATTGTTTAATTCAGTAATTTTGTGAATATGACTTCTGTGAAATTAACTTTTTACAGCCCCATCAAATAATAAGATGAGAAAGATTTCAAGAAAAAGAAGTTTCAGCAGACATTGGCTCATGAACCATAGTGGAAATAGAAACTCCAGTTTAGGCACATTGCATTGTGGGATTCTGTAAATCAAACCAGGCAAATCATCCAGTCATCTATACTACAGAAAAGGACATTTGCATCAAAATATCTTAAAGAAATGGTAATGGTATGTCCGTTATAATTTAGAACCAATTCCAATTGGAACTAATTATTATCTTTTTTAATTTAAATCCATAATAGGATACATTTAAAAAAAAAAAAAAAAAAAAAACATACACACAGATTCCTGTGAGAGCACTTACACCTCACCAAAGAGTGAGATAAGCTCAGCTTTCATTTGTACTACTACAAACCAAAAATAATCCCGTCTAACATTGGATCAGCAAGTCACAACATCAACCTTTTTGTGCAGCTGACTGTAAAAGTTACAGAATTTCACATAGAAAGGGATGTGATAAGCACCCTAACGCCACTGAGGCATAAAGCCAAGTGGCTTAAATTAACAGCTAAGGAAATAGATTGTGATTTGTAGTACTGTCTATTCGAGATGAGAACTGCCACCATGTTGGTTTATAGTTCACTAATAACTGATTTATTCAGTTGTAGCAGATCAGTCTAAGCAGGGGGATGTGTATCATTCTGGGAAATTAAAGAATAATAGCACTGTCTTGTTAATGACAATAAAAACTTTCATTGGAAAAAAAAAAGTCAAACTTTTGAAATAAGAAACTAGTTTCAGTGTTGGTTAAGAGAGTGGTGTAGAGAACCTGCCTTAAATTTTTTTTTTTTTTTTTAACTAAGCTTTTTCTGGCAATGCTTTAATCTGCTAGTGGATTTTTCATTTTGCCTTTCACATTCAGAGAATGATATTCTTAAGAAAGAAAATACTGACCTCGGGCTTTAAAAATACTGAATAAGTAAGCTGAACATATTGACCTCCCACAAACCTCAACAATACCCGACCCCTCTGGCCAATAGGCTGTCAGCATTTTAAAAGAAATGTGCCTATTCAACAGAGAACCTGGGGGTTTAAAGTTACCTCCGTCTTCCCTTTGCTTTGACAGGACCTCCTGGTGTCTTCGTCTGGGCCCCATTCTGTTGCCTAGGAAACCAAAATAAACCCCAAAAAGTGACTTGCCGTGATTCGCAGTTGCCCAGCAGCTGTTTGCAATAAAGCAGGAGCCAGGTTACGCAACTATTGATGATAATATTGCATTTAGCCAGATGCATCAAAAGACATTAACCTTATTGTGGTGTTTATTGTGCAAACAGCATGATAAGTGGGCCAGTGGCTTAAAAGGGTGAGGTAACTAGACAGTTGGAAGACCAGATGCAATTTGCATGTAAATACCATCCCCTAGTCTCATTCAAGCACAGAGACCTCGTCGTCTTCTCTCATTTTTTTCACCAGCACAAGCCACTCTATTTTCCTCTGCCCAATTATGCCCCCTTAGAGCTGTGTGTCCAGCCAACAATAATAGAGACAGCACTTAAAAACTGCAATCCTGCTGTCTTGAGGTGGGGATGTGCACAATCACACACACACTTTCACAAATTATTCAGATATAAGCAAAAGCTACCACCTTTGTCTCTCAGCTTGAGGTCCCATTGGTTTCAGATCTTAACTGAAACTCTAAATTTAGCCCATTTGTTTGCATGGCCCACTAAAGGTGTGGGAAGGTTCACAGGAAATATTAGAAACATAAGAAACCTTTCAATGTGGATAAGCAGATAAAGCTGATGGTAATTGGTTTTGTATATTAATAAGACAATTTCCTCTTACATGACCTGTCATGCTGTGGCTCAAGTGAGCCCTGACTGATGGGAGTGAATCATAATTATTCTGAACATTTGAACCTGGCAAAGCAAAGTAGGAAGAGAAATAGACAACTAATCAAAACAATTTATGAACAGCTCTAGACACGAAGTTGGTGTGCTTAAGAGAGATTCGAGGTATTCTAGGTTCATTTTTCCCCCAAACCAATTAAAAACAGCAAATATAGCCCATAATGTTGTATTTGGATTTGATTAAATTGGGCATTTCATGCAGATTGGATAAGAGAGACCAAGAATGATGGTTACGTCAAGACAAATGAAAAATCTAATAAGCCCAAAAGTGAAATGAACATTCGTCAGACTGAACAGAAAGGACATTTCTATGGTGCAATAGGTGGCGCAATGCACCTTTCAGATTATATCTTATTGGTCGGTTAGTTGATGTTACTGGACAAAGAAAAATAAACCAATCTACAAGACAAAAATTCGAAAAGGCTTTGTCCTACACCACAGCTCTCAAATGTCATTTGTATATCTAAATAGGATAAACACAAGAGTTACTGGCATTTTGTCATCATTGACATGTGTTGACGCAACATGTGAATAAGATTTGAGAACTATTGCAGAGGCAAAGATTTTTTCAACATATTAAGAGCTCGCCAGCAATCGCTTCCATTCACTTTCACGATATGAAAAAGAGCTCTTGCGACAAAACTCTTCAAACCCGAAGAAAGTCATAAGGGCTTGAAACTACATGAGTGTGAGTAAATAATGGTAGAACTTCCATTTGTGGGTGAACTGACCATTTAATACTGAGAAACTGCCTTGATTTTCAATGTTTGCATGTATACATTTAGCTACCTCATTCTTGCCAAAGTAGTTAACGACACCAAAGTTGTCAGGTACGACAGAGCAACACAGTGCCACACAGATCTGGTGCTCTTTTGTTTGTGTTTGCATTCATGTGTGTTTCAGGACTGAGACATGTTTGTGATGGATGCCTAAGCGGTGAGTCATCGTTCAGGTCATTAACATCTTGTCTGTGAGCCCCTGTTTTCTGGAAGAATCCGTCAGCTTAACCCTGACCTTAGCCACGGCAGTCCCTCTCTTCACACCACACTGGAACAATGCCAGCCCTCCAATGCTATTCCCAAAGAGCATTCTGAAGAGGCAGGCTGTGAAAAGCACACTGTATGCCATGTTTGGCAAAGGCTTGAATGTGAAGTTGGAAACCCTGCCACCAATGGGGGGCCAGTATCCACCAGGCTGTGGTGGATGGTGATGGGAGAGCTTTTCACTGGTGGGAGGTTTGAACCTTTGAATGATAAATTACTTTTGACAAGCGTTATGCCAAAGAGGATGAGGTAATATATTGATTAAAAGCATGCAGAGGTAATGACGTAACTGTTTGTTCATTAAGCCTGAGATTTTCAACCTTTTTTGTCTTATACCCCAAAACCCCATTAGTACAGCTCAAGTACCCTGTCATAAACACCAGCAAAAATCGTGGTCTTCCTCTGGATTTCATTTAGCTTGAAAATTAAATAAAATAAAATATGGTTATTAATATCGTTATTATTACTACTCATTATTATTATTAGAATGACTTCAAAAACAACTACACGTAAACATTTTAAATAAAATATCTAGAATGATTCACTTTGAAACTAAAAACAGTCAATACTGTGGGTGAAAAACAGACTCACAGTAGCTTCCTCTTAAACTGGAGCGGTTTGAGGAAAATAAGCTAAGAAAGATAAACGACAGTTTCACATCCCTGTGATACTTGAATAACAAACGATGCACCATAAAGTAGTCCAAAATGCACTTTTTTCATTGGGAATAGCTGTAAAACTCCCTAAAGGGTATAAAAGATGTTGAAATCACAGACGAGCATCCGTTTCGCCAGCAAAGCTGTCAAAAGGAAAATCACAGTGAGGCATGTGTGCTGAAACTGTGCAGTCTAATGTGGCTCTGCAATTGGATCTCGCTGGTCTAATGAGGCCACCGCACCGTGTATGTGCACTAGCTCAGAAATCGCACTCGGCACCACTATTTGTGGCATAATTACTCAGACTTCATCTGTTCTAATAATGGTGGTGGCACCAAGTGCCCTGCTCCTGGCATCCTCATGAAATAGTATCATGAATTTTTCATGGAGGGATAAAATAGTTGGGATTTATTTATACATAAATTAGTGAGGCACAGAAACAACGCCGGGCTAGAAAATGCATTCCATTCATATCAAGTATTGAGAAAATGCTAATACGAGCACAAGATAGGGCAGGATGGTGGAGAATTACCCAGTTTGCAAGCTTTGTGCTTCCGTTGATAAAGCTATTGTCTCGGTGGCACATTACAAGTGTTATAAATGAGAAGCATATCATGGGACACTGCACCTGTCCTCAGGGCACCTTCAAGAACTTGTTATTCGTCATTAAGAAGACACCATTTTAAATCAATCTTCCTACAATATGGTGACAAATTCATTTTTTTTAAATGAAAATATTTCTCAAATATATCTTGTTATACTTGTACATGTTACATGTTTCTGATGCAGAAAAGCTAGCTCATGCATTCATGACCTCAAGACTGGAGTATTGCACTACTAGGTGGTTGTCCTGCATCTTGAATAAACAAGCTACAGGTAGTCCAAAATGCCGCTGCTATAGAGTCCTTACCAGGTCAAGAAAATATAATCATATTACCCCAATTTTACAATCTCTACAATGGCTACCTATTAAGAACTACTGTTTAGAACTACTTTCTATAAGGCCCTAAATGATTTAGCTCCTGCGTACCTAACTAGTCTTCTACCACGCTACGATCCATCACGCTCCCTAAGGTCGCAAAACTCTGGACTTTTGGTAGTACCTACTAACTAGTCTTCTACCACGCTACGATCCATCACGCTCCCTAAGGTCGCAAAACTCTGTACTTTTGGTAGTACCTAGGATAGCAAAGTCCACTAAAGGAGGTAGAGCTTTTTTCGCATTTAGCTCCTAAACTCTGGAATGGACCTTTTTCACATTTCTGTGTTTCTCAGCATCGGAAGTCGTCATAGTTGGGTTAACTTGAAGAGCAGTGAATGGGAGAGTACCACAAATATATTTTTTGCATTCCCATTTGCTCAAATAGCAAAAGAAAAACTCCACGATAGTGTTTTCATGACTTTCAATAAAAGGAAAAAAATTGAGAGACTGATAACGGCAGTCAGAAGAGAGAACAATGTCAAATTTACCATCCCTTCCAGAGACGCTGCATTAGAAACACCCTCACATTAGCGTTAACTGTTTTTTTGTAATTTGATGCAAAGGTGATATAATACAAAGAATAGTGTTATAAATGTACATACATTTAAAAAAAAAAATACTAATATGAAAAACTTGAGGATTTACGATGCTGATGACCGTTAAACGCGTCATCACAGTCTTGTGAAAAGGGTCCATAGCTTTCCTGATAATGTTCAGGGTTCAGACACACATTCTGTTTAAATCTAGATTAAAGACATCTCTTTAGCCAAGCATTCACATAATTTATCTCATAACCTTGTACTTCAGTTATATCTGCTCAAATGCACATTATCATTTTTTGCTTGGTTTGAACAGCAGCTATGCTAATTTTTGTCTATTTGCTTCTCTGTTTCTGCCACGGGATTGGCATCCCGAGGTAACTAGGAATTACACAAGCTTCAGTCTGGATCCAGCCCTTACAAAAATCTGAGATGACTGAACGCCTGAGAAGAGATAATGAGAGATAATGTAGAAACTTTAATTTTCTGTGAAGCTGCTTTGCAACGATTTGTATCATGAAAAGCGCTACACAATTAAAGGTGAATTGAATTGAATATATCTTAATCATACAAGGTCATAAAAACTGTATGCATAATAAAACTTTAATTAATTATATAATATGAATAATTTAAATATTTACACAGCACAAGGGACCATTATGGATGAATTAAAGCACGTATTAAAAAATAAAAAATAAAAAATTCAAACTTGCCACAAACTAAACTTTCCTGGCTAAAATATAGGTCCCTGAACACTGCTAACATTTTTTAATATTTAAGCTAAAACATGTATATGAATTTTCTTGCAGACAGTGTTTTGAATTTAATACTTGCCTTCTATTTTCCAACAACAGTCTCATATGTGAACCTAAAGCTCCTTCTAAAGCATCTGCTAAATGTAAAACAACAAAACAAAACCCGACAGTCGCTTTGTCATTTCAAATGTACTTTTTTCAGAAAATTTCTTAGGATATAAAGTCTATGCAAAATATTCCTTTTAAACAGCAAAAAAATCTTAATCATTGTTTTTTTTT